TGGCATTGGGTTCTTAAGACATATGGTATCCATCATTGGTGCTTCCTTGATTCTGGCAGACAAGTTGTCCCAGGCACAAACTCTGCTTTCCCAAGAACCGGCATTTCTCCAAACAGCCTGGATTCTTCAGTTTCCTCCTATTTCATGGATTTGCCTACAAACTGGAGCTTGTGGTGGAGCCTATGGAACCTTAGCCAAGTTTCAATGGTATTCTCAGCTTCTTGCTGACAAGTTCACTCACAGTGGGACTCTCTTCTTTAGGAGCTTGTTGTTAGTTGGCAATTTCCATGTTCTGGATTCCAGGACCCTCACTATTGTGGCACAACTGCTGAAGTGTGAGGGTGGTTTGACTCCACTCATTCTGGGATTTGTGGGGATATCCTGACCCTGGTTTTGTTGAAGATGTCAAGCAGGATGTTTCTCCTGATATACTAGTGACTTGGTCTACTTTTATAAGCAATTTGGCGAGATTCAAAACTCTGCTGCCATCAGGATCTCATCCCACTCTCCATTTTTTTTAACAGATGAAGAAGGTTTAGAGAGGCTAAATAACATATTCTCAGTTGGCTCATCTGCAAAATGGTCAACAATTTCTGCTTGCCTACCTCTCAGGACTGTTATCAGACTTAACTAAGAAAATAAATGAAAAGTCGTATTTAAGGAGAGAGACACCACAGAGAACACAGCAAGAGCAGAAATACCTGGAGATGGCACAAAACATCCTCCTGTGGTGCTCTGGTGTCCAAGTACGTGACTCTAGTGACTGCTGCCAAAGGCCAATAATGAGAATGATAACAGCTAACTTTTACTGCCTGGCACTGTGAAAAGCACTATCCATATGTTATTTCATGTCCTCCTTGCAACAAACTGAAGGAGCAGGTATTGTCGGCCTCAGTTTACAAAGGAGGAAATCGGTGCTTAGTGACATTGATAAACCTGCTCACAGTGGCAGTTTTCTGGTGGCAGAGCCTGAACTGAAACCCAGGTTCTATCACTCCACAGCTCCTGCCTTTGGCTCTGCTTAGCCTTCTGAAATGGAGAAGATGTGAATTTTCACTGAAGATGAAGGAAAGAGAGAGTACGGAGGAGAAGGTAAGCCAGAAGGGGCTGCTCGGGTTGCTCTGTATTGAGAGGCTTTGGGCAGCTAGTCTCAGTATCTTTCTCTGTGGTAGGTGACTGAGTTGAGGTAGGGCTTAGTACATCTTTAGCGTTAGCTTACATGACAGCAATTACCCCTTAGTACTTTTCAGGGAGCTCTCGGAAGCATGCCCCTCTTCTAAGGTTGCCAAATAAAATAGTGAATTCCTGGTGATATTTGAATTTCAGACAAACATTGCAAGAGACACACAGTTTCTAAAAACTTATTCATTGTTTATCTGAAATTCAAATGTAACTGGGAATCCTGCATTGTCATTTGCTAAATCTGGCATACCTCCTCATTCAACATAGATTTTTTTTAATATATATTTCCATTATCCTCATACGACATCTAAAAAGCCGCAGTTCTTTGGTTTAGATTTTTACATCTTTAGGGATACCATATGAAAATACATTTAACCTTGGATTGAGGGACGCCCCTTAAGTTGTTATCTATTCGGTAGTGTCCCTAATTGTCTGTGCCCAACATCTTTGAAAAAATACACACACAGAGTTTGAAGAAAGGTGGGAGAGTGCCACAACAACACAGGATAGAGGAGAAGAGTGCTTATTGGGGCAGGAGAGGGGATTCATAGCAAAGGAAACTGATAAAACTCTCCTCATCCCATGCTGGTAGAGTCCTGAGGAGAAACAGCATTTTGTGTGACAAAATACACAGAATATACTCGATGAATGCTTTTGAATGAATAAGTGCAGGAATGATGCTGAGTTACAGCTAGCAGCATGTGCACTATAATGATGAGTTTCTACAGCCCAGAGGCTATCTGCCCCAGACCCATCAGGTCAGTACCAAAAACCTTTCATTATTGGGCAGCACTTACTTCCCTCTTTCTTCCTCCCTCCTCCCTGCTTGCCTGTGTGCACTTGAACAATTCTCTTCTTTTCACTGGGCCTTAATTCTCTGAAAATTGAAGAAAGTTGGATGAGAACTTCTTTATCACCCTCCCCATTTCCATGGCTTCACAGCATTTGAGGACATCCTGGAAACAGTTAGGAAAACAGAGCTGGAGACATTCTTTGAACTCACAAGGATATGGAAGGAGGGAGCTCTGTGTTCCCCTACTCCAGCCAGGAGCAGTCTGGATAGAGAAAGGTCTCAAATCTAGATAGGGACCTGGCCTCCCTTTTCCAGCAGCTACTGCGATTTCTCCAGCTTTCCTAGGAGTCCAGTGTGGCTAGACCTGCATCTGCCACCACCCTGCCTGGCCTGATGTATTTTTGTGTTGGAGCAATCCCCTAGCAGGCTGGACTGGGAGGTGGGGCCCGAGGGGTCCAACAGAAGCTCCTTTCCTCACGGGCTGTTCCATTTGTGATCCCCTGAGAAGATGAGGTGACAGATGAATGTGCTATAGTGAAAGTGCTCCCAATTTAGTATCCAAGGTGCTGATATTACCAGCAGCAGGATCTTAGGCAAGTCATGGCTCCTCCCTTTCATTTTCTGTGCCTTCACTTTCAGTGAAAAATAATCCATACTCCACAGCACTGTTAATGGGCAAGGATGAATGCTGGGTCCTGAGCCCAGAGCAAGGCACCAGGAGGAAATCATTAAATGGAAGTCCCCCCACCTATCTCCCAAGAGCTCCCCAGCTAAGGCCTTAAGACCCAGGGGCTTCCTGACCAGTGTTCCTCTAGGCCCCAAACCTTAATAGGCAGAAGATGTAGAGCCTAAATGAAGACCTCCCATACTTCCTCTGAGCACTTGGCCCTAGCAACATGAAGAGCATCCCAGATGAGGAGGGCTTGGCCAAGAGGCTGCACCACTACTGCCTTTCTCCGGGGTCAGGCTTGGAATAAGATGAGAGATGGCAAAAGAGTACTGAATGGGGATGGGGACAGGACTAGGATAGGACTGGAAAAAAAAGTACTATTAAATCATCCACACAGCAGATCATTTGCCTTGGAAAACTGACACAAACCTTATTTCTATGAACCTCACTCTCATTATTTTGGTAAAAAGCTCCTTACCATATTGTAAGCCCACCCAAACAGAGCCCAAGAGGGCCTATCCAACATCAAGGGTGTCTCTGGGCTGGATTTTGATGTCATGCATGAGAGCCTTCACATGGCACAGAGCACCTCCATGTCCATCATGGAACAATTCAGCTTGACATAAGCTTGCCTGCCATAGCCAAGGACTGCTGGAATCATGGCCCCTTCTGCTCATTTCCTCTACCACACCTCTCACTTGTTCCCTGGCCCCATATTATTCAGGCCAGCTTCTTGCTTTCTTTACCATGATCCCATGGCCCTCAGCTTTTCATAGTAATTGTTTCTAATTCTGCCATCACCTTACAGACTTCCTGGGCTTGATAATGATGAGGTTTCCTTACAGAATCTGGGTTTGTACTACTCCAGTTTGCACAACTCCAGTGTGATCCATGGTGATTCCCTGGAAGCCTCATAGAATGGGTAAAACGTATAATGAACATGCCAATACATATGTGTCCATGTCTGTGTGTAACTAATTAAAAGTTAAGACAGGTATGTATGTCACTATAGGATGTGTGTGTATGAGAACCAAGTAACTATCTGTCTACATGAGTGAAACCAGAGTGTGAGAAACAAAACCTGAGACTAGGGAATGTGGTTGGTATGAGTATGAGGTATGAGTATAAGATAGTGTATATGTGTAGAGGAAGCACACATATGGGGGACAGTATGATGAATAAATAATGTGTCAAGGTAAATTTGTTAAGTAGGGTGCAACAGTGTACCAGTCAGCTATTTTCACAATAATTTTATGAAACAAACTATCCCAAAATGTGGTAGGGTATTTTACAATAAAAATTGTTTCATGCTCAGGAATCTACAAGCCAGCTGGGGTCGCGACGATCTAGGCTAGGCATAATTAAGCTTGGCCTCAGGCCACAGGTTGGGTTCAGTTCTGCTCTACATGTCTCTTATTTTTCTGGGACAAGTGGACTGCCCAGGGCATGTCTTTCTCATGGCAGCAGCAGAAATCCTACATAACAAGGCCAATTCACAAGCATTTTTAAAGTATCTGTATCACACCTACCAAACTGTATTAACCAAAGCAAGTGATGCTGCCAAGCCCAACATCAATGGGCCTGGAATTGCATTCTTCCTCTAATAAAATATAAATTATATGGGAAAGAACAGGTGAAAAATTAATACAGGGACTGCTGGTTTCAGTCAAGATGGAATAGCCTCATTTCTCTCAAGTCCTCCCTCCTGTAACTAAAAAATCCTGGGAAGAGTTCTGACTGCTGAGTGGCACCTGACTGATTCCCTCATTTCCTCGAAGTCTTTGCTCCAATATTCTCTACTTAAAACTGCAAAGCATGTCCCAACCCACACACCCCATACCAGCATCCCTCAACCCTCAAACACAGCTCTATTTCCGTAATACATGAATACACCTTATCACACACTATATCATTTATTTATCATAAATACCTATGGCTTGTTTCCCGCACTAAAATTTAACGACCAAGGTGATTTTGGGTTTAAGCGTCTTTAACAGTTGCTGGAACACAGTAGGCCCTCAAATGTTTGCTAAATTAATGAACTTCAGTGACATATAGTCGGATCAGCATATTTTTAATGGTAAAGATGAAATTACGCATGACATTATGTCCTTTTCCCCCAGCAGCACTCTGACAAAATAAAAAACACTTTAATGGGTATTCCTAAAATAATTCTTACCAGTTTGTAATTTAAACACACGAAGATAACGCGAATGCACCAGCCGTTTACCTCAAAGAACAATGTAAAATAGCGCCCCGCCGCCGGGAGCACGCCTTTGGCGCGGCGCCGCGCGAGGCCCAGGGATCAGCACCGGAACTACAAACAGGCAGTGGGCGTGGCCCTCCCGCGGCTTTCTGGGACTTGTCTTTCCCTGCGCTCCTCTCGGGCCGGGGTCACAGTTCGGAATCCTGCGCTTCCAGGTGTCGGATTCCCGTGGGAGGTGAGAGGCGTCTGGCTGCTGGCGCCGCCCGCAGAGAGGCATCCGGCGGTGGGGATGTGGGAGTGCCCTGAGAGACGCGCTAGGCCGAGACCCGAAAGCCTGGACGGGCTGCAGTGGAAGGACGCGCGACCTGGCGGGGGTGCAGTCCAAGGCCGCACGTGTGTCCCAGCGCTGCGACCGCTGCTGCGTCCCCGAGATCCAGCTGCGGTCACCTGAGACGGCCCCTAGCGCGGCTGAGGTTCAGAAAGGCCCTTGGTCTCGCCTGGCTGAGCTCCGGCCTTGGCCGGCCTGGGAGCTTCGTGATTGCCTTTTCCACCCTGGTGACTGGCTTTGTTCCAAAGGTTTTGAGGGGACGTTAGGCTCCTGTGAGGGACTGAGGTTTCTGTCCCCACAGCACTGCCCTCGCTAAAAGGCTGCATCTGAGCTCCTACACCCCAGAAGCGAGTCAGGTCAGGGAAGGTGTCACAGGCATCCAAAATCCATCCCGAGAGGCGATGCATCCAACCGGAGCGCTCCTACTGCTCTAACTAGAACTTGAGGCAGAAATCGGAAAACCTGAATAAATGGACACATCTTAGAGCAGCCAAGAGGGATGTAACCTCATGGGTTGGCGGGGGCTTAGCCTGTTTGATGGGTAGACAGGAGAGGGTGTGTGAAGGGTCGACTGAAAAGAGCTTAGTGGCAGGAGCTGACTTTTTTTCCTACAGTCTTGCTGGACTTGATTTTCATGGCTTTTTCTCTTTCCCCAACTCTACCTTTCCAGGACTCTGTCCAGAGAGGAGTAAATGACCAAATTCCAGGTGAGTTAAGGTTACTTCTCCAAAAATACCATCTCCCTGAGAATAAAAGTAATCTTTCTTTGGACAAAGGAAGGACATCAGTATTGAGTACCTTTTTGATGTCATTTCTTGTCTTTGTTCTATTTTTTCTCCATCTTGTCAGACTCCAGTGTGAGACATATGGTATTTTATTAATATGGGTGTAGGAACATTCATCTATAAGGCCATATAGCTATCAAATGATGTTGTCAAGGTCTGCACAGGTCCCTGATGGCTTTAAATTCCACATCAATTCTCATGGAACCACCATGTATCCATGAACTTGGCCCACTCCCCAGAGCACTGGGCTTATGCTCTTTTGTTATAAGACTGTACACAGCATGGTTGCCTTGTCATTTCTCAAAGCCTGCCTCTTCCTATCAGACATTTCATTCACAATGAAAGTCATTCAAAGCTATTACATGCTCAATCCAGTGCTAAGTAGTCTTAGGAAAACAAACAGCATTAAAAACTACAGTGCTTTCCTTCATCAGCAGATTACATGTATGAAAAAAAAATATGCACATTAACAATAATCATTTATTAAACATGAAAGTGTTAAAAACATGAGAAAATGTGTTAAATAGCACAGTAGTTACCAAGTCACTCCCAGAAATGGTCCTCAACCAGACTGTGCATCAGAATTATCTGTGGTGTTTTTTTAAAAAGTTAAGGTTCCTAGGCAGCCCTGCAGACCTGCTAAAAAGAGAATTTCACTTTTTTTTCACTCCTTTATCCCATTGATCTTTGTACATCCATAGATTTGTTGCATTTATTGTCACATATTTCTCTACATGCTTGATGTGAGCATCTCTAATGTAGGTAAGATGTTTGTCTTTTATGCTTTGGTTGCCTTGTTCCCTTTACCAACATATCTACATGCTTAATCAGTATAATGTTAAATTATCAACTAGCACTTTTTAAAAAACCGATTCCTCGTTTATCGCTATAAAACCATTTCTAGAACGTTACCTCAAGATTAGCACTTAGAATCATGGAATGCTTGAAATGGAAGGGGTCAGCCATCCCCTTTTCTGCCTTGATGTCATCATTTTACAGAGGAGAGTTTTAATTCTGAGGGAGCTCAAGGGAAGCACCATGTCTTCTGTTGCAGACAGCAGAGCCAGAAGTAAACTCCATGTTTTCTAACTCCAGGCTGTTCTTTCTCGATAACTAAACAGGTCTTCACACCAGAAATTATTTGAACAACATATCAGGCTGGATTTCAAGGAAAAATAAATGGTTCTAACACCACCACCACTAAGATCATCTTTTTACTTGATGAATACAGTCCTCACATACATAGAAAAAGACTGTGAACTCCTATAAAAATTGGTTCATTTAGAGGGCGGTAAACTGCCTCAAAGTATTGAGAGCATGCCATCTCTGTGCCTTGAAAAGTAATTGGGGACTTCAGGGGAGATTAACATGAGTAAGACCCTGTGCTCTCTATATTTTCCTTCTCTTCTGCCTGTTTCCTGATGAATATTATTTATTCACTACTGATGAAGTTGGGGTTTGCTAGTATAACAAATTTTGAGATTCTGATATATATTAATAACTTTTTGAATTTAAAGAAAGGACTTCATCTGACTAATACTTGCTGAGTATTTTCTATGTACCAGACATTGTCCTTGAATCTACTGAAAGGCAGGAATCCCAATTTAACCCTGCCTCTGTGACTTGGACAAGTCACTTCACCATTATGAACCTTAGTTTTCTCATCCGAAAATGAGTGTTGAGTTTGATGATCTCGAGGTTCTCTTGTACTTGTAGCATTTGATTATTCTTGTAAATTGAATGTGAACTTATAAATACTTACCATTTAGATTCTGAGTTAGTTGTGCTAGTTGCTGAGGATTCAAAGATTAGTTGAGCATGGCCCCTATCCTTTAGAATCTTAAGCCAATTGAGGAAACAGATTTAATAGCTATAGTAGAGGTACATGAAAGATACTGTGAGATGGAGGAAGAGGAAACATCTAACTCGTCCTCATGCTTCAGAAGGGAGGTTGCTGATTGTCCTAAAACTGAAAGAAGTTCCAAAATGGGTGAGAGAAATATAAGTCAGGGCAGAAGCAATGTGTTAAGGGCTATTTTAGATTAGGGCATGATGTTTGGATGACTACAGGTAATCCAATGTGACTTTAGCTCCTTTCCACCTCCTGCCCTCTTAATTACTGTTTCCTGCCCTAAGTAAGTTGTTTGATCCAGCAGTGATGGGCTCTGAAAAGGAAGTGGAAAGCCACATGATGTATGTAATTTGGAGGAGTTTGACATTTGTCAGGGTAGGGGTTAGACAGGAAACTACTGTCGCATGACCTTCTACTTTGGTTGGCCTTGAGGATATTGAGTCCACTTTCCTAGAATAAGCATGAGTTCCGCCTTGGGGTAACTCATCAGCTCCACGAATACCAGGGGAGACTATTTATCATTCAGAGTCTTTTAGTCACAACTTTATCTTGCTTTATCAGGACCACTATTTTCTTTCTTTTTCCTTTCCTCTGTCACACTAATTCCTTTCATTTGGTCCACTGTCATACCATTTCTCATCTTGGAATATTCAGCCTACTCCAAAGTCGGTAGTCCATCAACATAACCTTTCCATTCTCAGCACAAACTTCTCCCCACCACTTTGTGGGATCTTAAAAAATTACTAATTCTGACTATCCAATCTATAGATTGAAAGATGACAAAACTTGTACTTTGAAGACCTAGCAAGGAATTATTGTGATCAAAATAAGAAATGAAGACCTTACCTAGGACAGTGGCAGTAGAAATAAAGAAGAGGTAACACATTGGAAGGAGATTTAGGAGACAGCATTGACAAGATCTGAACATTGTTGAGGTAGGGAAGGAGTCTTGACAATCCAAACTGTGGGATATAAGATGGATAAAAAATAAAAGGGAACAAAGATAACTGGTGGACTTTAATCTCAGAAGGGAGGAAAAGATTCAATCTAGAATGCATAGGGAAAGGTTAACCTTGGACAAAAAAACTTTTTCTCTGAGGTTGAGAAGAAAAAGTCTAAGGAGTGGCTAATCCGATTGCTTGATATTCGCTGAGCCAGGTTGTACTAACGGATTTGTTTATGTCACTCTAAGGCAGCACCCTCTACTTCCATTTCTTTGTCCCATCTTTGCAGTAGGGATTTGCAGGCCTCTCTAGCCTCAGACACAGTGGAGGCTTGTGACCTTGAGGGGAAACTTCCACTTGCCTCACTGTCACCTTCTCCACTGGTGACTAATAGTGTAGTCAAGTCATTCCTTTGAGGGATTGTGGGGGAGGGAAGTTAAGGAGGGAGTTGGTAGTGCCACTTCAGCCTTAGGCCTCGTGAGCTCTTCTGAAGGTTACTGAGCATTTCCCTGTCTCAGAGTTAAGTTGCTCCTTTGGGTTTCACTTGGCTCTCATTTGTTTTCATATCCTGGTATAGTATCCTGGTTTTTTTTTTTCTGCGTGTTTTAGTTTTGTTTTAGTATCTTGGTATAGTATCCTGGTTTTTTTTTTTCTGCATGTAGCCTGTAGACTGGTGCCAGCCCACAAACAGCTTGTTACCAGTCTGCAAAGACATAAAGACAGAAATTGAGAGTTTTACACTTTCATATCTGTTGAATCTAATAATTTTAAAAGTTGGCATTGATATTTTATATGTCTTTATTGTATTTTACAAAATTGTCAGTCTGTGACATATTAGAAATTTTTTTTAAAAAAAGTGGTCCTTCACCAGAGGCAGTTTGAAAACTTTTGCTCCACTGACAGAACCCTGAGGGAACAGATTCACTTTGAAGTTAACTAAATATTTGGACTCCTCTTAGGTGCCAGGCTCTGTATGAGGCCTTGAGGATGCAGTTTTTTTTTAAGGAACTTATGTCTTAGTGGGAAGAGACAGACAGTAAATAAAGCAGACAAATATATAAGAAAATGAGATAAGGCATAATTAGTACAAAGAAATTAAAACGGGGGAAGTGATAGTTTGGGGCATCTGGTATTTTCGCCATAGTCATCTTTACTGCAGCATTTTTGCTGCATACATTTTGCAACATAACTAATTAGCCATAAAGCAATTTTTCTGTAAAAGAAAAAATATATATATATATATGAATCACAGTAAGAGAGAGACATTAAAAAGGACATAAAATTAAAAAGACTTAATTGTGAAATACAAACTATTTGAATACATTTAACGTGTGTGTAGATTCATGGCAATACTGCTCAAATAACTGATTTTATTTTGTGGATTGTGCCTAAGCACTTGTCTTCATTCTCTGAGAAATGTGAGTTCAACTTTGCACCCCCAAGAAGGCACTCAGCCTTTCTCTTCCCCTTGTAGTGTGTTTAAAAATAAGAAACCAGTTCTTGGGGCAAATCATCATCATTTGATAGAAATGCTAACTGTTCTAATACTACCACCACCACATCTATCTATCACCATTACGAGGGCTAGTTAAGATTTACATATAATATAACAATGGGAGTGACTGCGAATGTCACCAATGGAGAAATGAAACCAAACTGACAACTGGCTTAAATACATTAGTCTGCTGAATGTAGTTGATTTGTCAGTGGAGCAATGAAACCAACCAAAGAAAATACAGTCAACCATTTTATCTTTTTTACAGCAGTTGATTGATTTATCAATGAAAAAATAAACCAAGCAAAAAACCCAAACTATCAACCAGTTATTTTATCTTTTTTACAGCAAAATTTCCTTACTATTAGTTATACAGTGATATTTGCGACAAAAATACTTGTGGCAAAGATGCCATGGCAAAAGTACTGAGAACCATTTTTTTTGGTGTTACTGTGGATTAGGTGGTCAAGGAAATGATTCTCTGAGGAGGTGGCAATTCGGCTGAGACCTGAATAAGGAACCAGGCATGTGAAGATGTGAAAAAAAAACATTCTGGGCAGAGAGGACAACTAGTGCAAATGCTCTAAGTAGGAATGTTTGATGTGATCAAGGATTTGCCAAGTGTGACATATCAGGTAGGAGTGAATCAGAGTTGGAGAATTGACAGGATGCCAGTCTGTAAAGCCTTGCAGGCCAGGATGAAGTCTGGATTTTACTCAATGTCCATTGAAAAGCCTTTAGAGAGTTTCATGCCTGATGTGTGTGTTTTAAAAGATCACTCGCTGTTATGTGGAAAATTCATTGTGTGGAAGAGCAAGAGAGACAAATAAGGATGTGGAGAGTTAATGACAGCTGGGGCTCATAATGATAATAGTGCAAAACAGAAGTGGGTAGATTCAGATATCTTTTAGAGGTAGAGTTGATAGGACTTGGTAATGGATAAAATGTGAGGAAGAGAGAAAAGAGACTTACAGGATTTTGGCTTGAGAAATTGAGTGAGTCATATGAATATTTACTAAAATGAGGACAACTAGGGAAGAGCAGATATCAGTGGAGATTGTTGGGAGCAAGAGTTTCAATGGGGCCTATTAGGTCCTTTTAGACATCCAAGTGTAGATAGATGTTACGTGGAAAGTTGGAGCCTAGAGTTAAGGGGAAAGACTGGGGATGGAGATAAGTATTTGCAAATACCAAAGGAGAGTGTATTATGGTTGTGTGTACATATGCTATGTTATTTTTTCCAGTAACGTTCAACTAAGTTTAGAAGAAGAAAGGACATATGGTTGATATGACTAGGGAAAAATTTGAGATCTGAAGTACATTTTGGTTAAGAGGGAAAAAAGGGATTAAAGGATGGTTATTTTGATAAAGCAGATGCGATTGAAAAGGAAGAGCAGAAAGAATTGGAAAATGTTTTTAAGGTGTGGATATTAAGATATTAATATTTCAAATGTAGAGTGGTCCAAATAGTGAAATGATATGGTTATTGGGTGCGAAATGAGGCAGAGATCATTAGCACTACAAAAATTAAAAAATGTGATGTTAGAGTATTGGGTAAATTGTTCTTATGAGTGTTGAGTTTTGAGGAGGAATTGTAGGAATTGGGTGGAAAGGACAACTCAGCAATGACCACGAGATGGCAGTGTATAGGAAAGATTCAGTAGCTGGATAGCTTGAGCTTGAGTGATTTGTGGGTAGAAGGGGAAGGATTTGGAAGGAAGATGTAGCAAAGTACGTGAGAAAGGAAAGAGTTTCCAGCAAAACTTGATTTAGATCCCTTAGATCCCTAAACTGTACACTTCTGTACCCCTCTAACCTTTTCCAGTGCTATCATCCTCACCTTCCTTTCAGGGTGTTTGTGCAGATGGTTGTTAGTTAAGGAGGAATGTGCTTAATGTTTTAGGAACCAGTAATATTCAAGGATTTCTCTGTGGACTTCACTGAGGAAGAGTGGGGTCACCTGGACCCTGCTCAGAGGAAGCTACACAGAGCTGTGATGCTGGAGAACTACAGCCGCTTTGTCTCAGTGGGTAAGAACATGAGCCTGGACACCTGACCATTGAAGTCTTTGTTTCTTCTATTCTAAATAGCGATGGGGACCCAGGAGCTATGGTTCAGGAATCAAAGTTTCCTAATTTCTTTTTGGCACAAAAGGATATTTCTGGTTATTTTAAGCAACTATAAAACTGTACTTGGTAAGAATTGGAGACTAGTAGCTTTACTGAGTTGTCTGAGAAACCATACCTGGTTCATCCCTGATAAACCAGAGTTTGGGACTCATTTTACTTTCTGTACAATTATTCCATCCCTATGTGTTTCCCCAATGTGATCTCTCAGAGCAAGTTGAAGATAATTATGTAATGGAGAACAAATTTCAAAGGAATCGGCTAGGCACCGTGGCAAGTTACAGACCCAGGCTAATCCATGAGAGGAGACCCTTTTTAAATGTTCCAGGAGTTCTCTTTGAAGTTCTTTGGTAGAGAAAGCTGAGGCTTCAAGGATACTTTCCACAAACTGTAGCTATTCACTTACTCTCCCTTCTTCCTTTTCAGAAGGTTGTGGTCTTTTTCATTCATGCTGACCCTCTCTTATGTGTACTCTATCTTTTCCCATGTTTTCCCCACATGGTCTTGAACTATCTTTGCTTGGACTTTATTTTCATTAAAAATCCTCCTGCCCTACAATATCTAGTTTCTATAGCTTCTTTTCTTACACATTCATAGATTCATCCATCTCTCCTTCTGAATATAAGACAATATTGTGGTGTGACAAAATCACATACCCTAGAGATAGATAGGGGCATAATTGATATAGTTTTTCTCAGAAACATTGACTGCTTGAAGCAGAGTCTTAAGCATTTTTGATGTAATAATTCATTTTTAGGTATCTGTCCTGAGGAATTAATCAGTAACTCCAACTGAAAATTATAAACAAAGATAAGTCATTATAGAATTATTTATTTAAAATAGTGAAGAAATTACCAAATAGATCAGAGGGGCTTGGTTACACAAGTTGTAGGGGATCACAAAAAAGAAAAATCTGTGGCAATTAAAAAATATACTGATAACGAGTTTTTAATCAGGAAGATACATGTTTGCCTACAAGGTTGAACCATGTGAAATTTCCATTTTGTAGTAAAAAACACATTCTATAAAAACAACTGAAAAAAAGTATCCTGTAATGGTGGCTTTTAGGGTTTTTTTCCTGCTTTAGTCCATATGGTTCTCTTCCTTCAGTAACTGTGTCTCAGAAACCATTACTTTCAACAAAACCTGGGGTGAGATGAGCACCACAGAGCTAAGTGTTCTCTGCAGGTGCTGAGAGCCATCCATTTCCATTTTCTTTTGATAAACCCAGTGCCTGTGCTCTATCCTTGTACCAAAACTGCTCACTTGGAGGTCACTGTTATTAAACTTTTGTCCCTTTCAGAACTTTTCCTTTTTAAATTTTTCTTTCAAAGTATTTACTATTACCAGTTTTTCTAATGGTTTTCATAGTGTTCATCTTAATCTTAAAATTTTTTGACTTGTATGAAATTATAGTTTTTGTTTCCTCTGGCCTCTTTTTTTTCTGCATATTCACTGGCTTCTCTGTCTTTAATGTTGGAAATCTCAAAAGTCTCGTTCCTTTGATCGTATCGGTGTTTCTCAGTTCTTACCCCCTTGGGGACAATAGTGCCCCTGTCATGAATCCACACTGTGTATGTATACCTGTCTGCATCCCTCAAAGAGCTATCATACATTTAAATGATTTCAACTGCCCTTTCTACTTTGATAACCCTAATGTCTTTATTTCCTATCCTTGTATTAAATTCTATTCCTAGGTATTTTTTTGGCTATGGGATGTCTACACTTGAATATACAATGTCACTTCAAATTCAGTGTACTGAGAATTTTCAAATTTCTTTTCCTTTTTAATATCTCTTATCATATGCCTACTTTTGTCAATATTAACATTCTTCTCGTCCCCTAGTTTAAAAACAGGCCCTTACTAAGCTTCTCCCTCCCTGTCCTCAGTATCTGCAGTTCTCTTACCAATTCTTTTTTACTTTAAATCCTTTTAATTTATTAATACCTTAAGTCCCACAGGTGTCACCCTAAAATGGGGCCACTTAACACTTGCATTGTGGTAACAATCAGCCTGATTGTGGGTATTATTCTTCAAGTTCAAGTTAGATGTTGTGACTTATCCCCCGCCTCCAAGCATATCATTTATAATATCACGCGTTGGATAAAAAACTGGAATTACCTTTAGTTGCTGGTATAGAGCCTCTAAACTCCCACCTGGCTTTTGAGGCCCTTTGTGCCCTGCTCTTACCTATAGAGCACTGTTTTCTGATATCCCAATTTTGCCCTCCTTCCAGCTAAGCCTGTTTTCCTGAGGTCCTCCATGCTTCTTGGCTCTGGAACCTTTGATTATATCGTGCTCTGGTTCCTGATTAATTTTGTCCTTTACGATTTTATTCAAGGTCCATTGTCTGTGTGAAACCTTTGATCGCCCCTCCTCTTCTTTCAGAACCTTAAATTTATATCTCACAGTCTCAGACCTGTGTATGCTTTTGTATGCCTTCATTTTAACTGTTGGATCTACAAATCTGACTTATTTTTCTTGTTTCCAGCCAGGTTTCTGGAAGGAAAACAATGTATCTATTACTTCCTGTACTGTGTATACATGGCCAACATTTAAAAATTGACTGCTATGTTTAGCAGGAAAGAAATATTTCTTACAGTCTTATGAAAGAGACATCAAGTAAACACAATATATTACTATAAATTGATAAGTCCTATGAAGGATAGACAGTGCGCTCTGAAAATAAAGGCGTGGGATGGGACGAGGGTGATGTGTAAATTGTTTGGTTTCAGAGGAAGCCTCTGAAGTGACATTGAAACTGAGATCCAAAGGATTAATAGATATTAAACAAGTTATTGGTTAGAGGAAGAATATCCCAGGCAGAGAGATGTGTGAGAGAAGACCCAAAGACCTGGAATAGTGTGGGAAGAGGTGGTGGGCAGGGCCAGGCTCATCTGTGGCTCTTTGAAGGCATTGGTAAAAAGTGTGGATTCATGCTAAGTTCAGTGGGAAGCCAGCGGAACAACGGGGTGGTATGATCTGATTTACCCCAGTATCACTGGGACTGCTTTGTAGAGAGTGGTTTGCAGAGGGGGCAAAAGCGAAGTAGGATATGTGCCCCTAGTTTCAAGCTCTGCTCTAAGTTTTCCTTTTAAATTCATATAAAATCGAACATAGTTGTCTAGCATTTTTTATGCAACATTAAAAATTCTCAAAAATTCAAAGAACACAGAAGTATTATGTGAAATAAAATCACCAGTAATTGTTTATCCTGTTTTTTCTATGTACTCCATACATTCATGTGTATGTTACAAATATATGTGTTAAGATTATATAAGATTAGACTGTATGTATTTTTCAGTTGGGTATTTTCTGCAGTATGTCTTGGAAACCTTTGTTGTCATATTAACTTTCTATAAAAGGGCCTCTGTCATTATGTCAGGATTTTCTTCTAATATTATATACTCATTCTTAATCATATTTTAAATATTTGAAACAACTAACATCACAAGGTTTTATTACTACTTATAATACCTACCATTAATATAATTCCTGCCCACTGATTTTCATAGACCTGTCATTTCCACAGCTATTTCCAAGTATTATTCAGCTAGGATGTTGAAGCAGTGTCCTTTGACCATTTAATAATTTTGGTCCATCTCATGATTTAACTGTTCCAAACTGCATTGTTTTACTTTTATCATTTTCTCCTTTTTCTTTTTGCCATTACTTTTAAACTTTGTAAACAAAGTAATACATTCACCTAGATAAAGCGAATTATGTGGAAAGGCTAACAATAAAAACCCATCTCCATGCTCTGCTGTTCCTTGTGCTGTTCCTTCTCGGAGGCACTCAGTTTTAATTCTTTCGGCTATTCCTTATTGTGCTTGCCTTCATATTTCTAATAATATGCAGCTACTACTTTAAAAAAAAAAAAGAATTAAACATAAAAAGGTGTACAATGTTATTTGTCAATTATATTTAAATAAAGCTGAACAAAAAAGTACAATGAGGATTCTGGACATGCTGGGGAACGGTGGAAAATAAATTATGCATGAGCAGCAAAGAAAAGTAAAATCTCCAAGTATGCTAAATGTTTTTAAGTTATTAAAGTTATACTGCAAAAATAAAAAATAAAAAGGTGCACGGTGAAAACTTTCTTTCATGTCCCCAGCTCCACTCTACCTAGGTTCTGATTGTTTGCAGATCCTGTGCAAATATCATTTCACAACTGTACCTGGAAATTTGAAGAATTGAAGCTTCCAAGCCAGAATGCTAAGTGTATATGTTTGTGCTTTTGATTGATAATTGTCAAAATGTCCTTCTTAGGAGGGTGATACCAATTTACACTCATAGTGTATGTCCTCAGGCTTTGGGTTTTTGCCAGTGTAACAGGTAGAAATTGGTACCTCAGTATAGTTTTCTTCTGAATGTATTATATTATGATGTACTGCTATTTTTGTTTCTAGATATTCGATATTTTTTATTGACTTCTTTATATCATAGATGAGGATCTAGCTCTTTTACGTTACATGCCCATCCTCCCAAGAATTTGTCAGTCACATCAGTGATTAATGCTTATATTGAATTTGTAATTCTTATTCCCTGCAGAGTCAAGTAGTATACTATGGTTACACTTCCTTTTTTTTCCTTTCCTAAAGCTAAAACTTGCTTGTTAAAATATATTTTATGTAGGGGGGATTTTCATTTCATACTGCTTTATAGGGTTTTCATTAGTTTGCTTAATTACTATTGTTTGTTTTATGTATCAACAATTTATTCAACTTAATTTTCTGTTTTTTTGACTTCTTTGATCATTGCTGTTTCCTTTTTTTTGTCTTTGTTCTTAGGTACATTCTATTTTAACAAGGGACTTCTCAAATTACTTTGTACTATAAAACCTCAACTTCTCTTTTCTTCAGTATACTCTGGATATTACCTTGTAGTGTTCTTTTTTATTTTTATTTTATATTAGTGTCAGGTATACAGTATATTGATTAGACATTTATATAGCTTATGAAGTGATTCCTCCGATTACTCTAGCGCCATCTGGCTCTACACTTAGCCAGTACAATATAATTGACTCTATTCCCTATGCTGTACTCTACATCCCCATCACTATTTTGTAACTACTAATTTGTATTTCTTTATCCTTTCACCTTTTTCACCCAACCCCCCTCCCCTTGGCCATCACCAGATTGTCCTCTGTATCTGTAAGTCTGTTTTTGTTTAGTTTGTTCCTTTTGTTCGTTATGGTCCGCATATAAGTGAAATCATATGGTATTTATCTTTCTCTGTCGGACTTATTTCATGCAGATTAATACCCTCTAGATCAATCCATGTCATCTCAAGTGGTAAGATTTCATTTTTTTATGGCTGAGTAATATTCCATTGTATATATGAACCATAACTTCTTTATCCAATCATCTGCTGATGGGCATTTAGGTTGCTTCCATATCTTGGCTGTTGTAAATAGCAATCACTGCTATTTCTTGTATCATTATCATCTTTTTCTTAAAGTAATTAAAAGTTTTTTTGCTATAGTACATTCTTTAGTAATTATTTCAGTAATTGTTTAAATCCTTTCTCGTCTGAAAAAGTGTCTGTTCCTCCCACTGAAATGATTGGCTGGGTATAGAATACTAATTTCATAATGACTTTTCCTCCAAAATTAGAAGATATTTCTCAGTTATCTTCAGGTGTCCAGTATTGCTGATTAGTAGTTCAGTGTCAGTATAATTCTCATTTATTTGCATTTTCTGGGATTTCTTTTTCTCTTGAAGTCTTGAGGTTTCATATACTACTTTTAACATTCAGTGGGACCTGAATCTTGAGTTCTAGGAAATATTTTGGGTTTTTGTTGTTGTTGTTGTTATTGTTGTTGTTGTTGTTGTTTCTTTAATCATTTATTTCCTTTCATTCTATCTCCACTATATGCATAGAACTCCTACAAGATGGGTGTTTACCTTTTCTCTCCATCTATCCATCCTTTTACTCCACATTCTAGGAGAATCCCTCAGTCTCCCATATTAGCTATGTGTTTATTGTGCTATTCAGCCCATCTAGATTGCAGGCCTTAGAATCAGACTGCCTGACACTTAGCTGCTTAACCATTACAACCTCTGTTTCCCTGTGTGTAGAATGGGTATCCTAATAGTTCCTCTTACATAAGATCGTGCGGCTACTGAGTGCTTCAGACCAGTAGAGTAGGTATTATTATGATTATCATCTTTTTCAATCCTTTTATTAATTTAGAAGAATCTGATTTTTAATGGCATGTGTTTATATTTTATTACTAGATTGTGTTGTTTTTCTAGATGTGATATCCTCTCAGATTTCTCTGGGGTTTTAGTTATGTACCTTTTAAATTCTGTTTCCTCTGTTCACTATTTCTTGAGTTTGTGCCACTCTTTGTTGAAATTACTTTCTACTTTTTTGTCTGCTTACAGTTCTTACTCTCATTTTTTTAAAAGTCTTGTGTTCATAGTATGATACTGGAGTGTACATATTTAGCTGACGCCAAACCCTCTTTGGTACATGCAAATTCTACTGATAGGGGACACCTCTGCTGACTGGGCTTGGGATGGATATAATAAGAACCCAGATGGTAAGTGGTGTGGAGCACTTTTTTTGAGGTTGCCTCTTCAAGCAGGTCAGTTATCTGGGGCATGCCCTGCTTTGATCTCCAGCTCTGGGTTATCTGTTGTCAGAAATCCTGCTTCAGGGGTTACCTCGAGGCTTTGTCTTGGACACATATGGAGTCAATTGCTTCTTTTCGTACCTTAATCAACCTGTCATTGTGCAGGTTCAGTATTACCTCAACTTCCACTTCTCTTTTCAGCCTAACAAACACAATTGAGAGTCTTTCTTTAGCAGATCATTTATTTTGTTCTTGAGATTTTTTTTGGAGCCACTTTTGTTAGCCACCCAATATTTCATTTTCTGTGGGGAGGAGGATGGTTGGGAGAGTGGCGCTGCTGATGGCAACAACTAGTCCAGCCATCAGAAATGTCTGACATGAATTAACAAACCTGAATTTCCAAGATAAACCTCTCTTATTTTATAATGGTTGATTCCGAGTTTGGAATTTGAATTTCTAGGGCTTCTTGAGGAGATCTCTTACTCTTTCAAGAAGTCTTCTCCTGTACATGATTTGAGCTGTACATTATTTTCCTAGTTTCTCCATCATTCCTAATCCATCTGCTCTTTATCATCTAGGACTTCCTCAACATTTTTATTCTAGTGATGACAACTTTTTTTTCCCCAAGACTATTACTGATTTCATTTTTGTTATCAGCGTAATATTAGGATAGTCACTCTCATTGTTTTGGCCAATATATATACTAGTTAAGTTCAAAATCTGTATTCTAGCAAGTTCTCTTTCAGGAGTTCCAGACACATATATCTCACTGCTTACTGAACAGTGCAATAAGGTTCCACCAGCACCATAAATTAAACATCAGATTTAGAATTTGTCATCTGTCCTCCTTCTCCACTCCAGCCTTTTCCTCTTACATTCCCTATATAATTACATAGCACCCTAGTCACTCAAGCAAGAAATAGGGGACCATGGTTGGTGCCTTCTTTCCCCTCTACATTTAGTTAGTCATCATATGATTTAGAGTCTCTCTCTCCCATTCTTTCCATACTCATCATCCTTACCACTTTTCTCCTGATTTGCTACAGCAGTTGTCTCCCTAACTAAAGCCTTGCTCATTGATGAGCAAGTCAGTCATTTCACTCCCAATCAAAATCCTTTAATAGCTTGAAATTCTAAGGGTTTTAGCCCTAAATTCTTAGTAGTACACATCAAACCCTTTAGTCTGGCTCCTGCCATCCTCTCCAGGACTTACTTTTTACCACTGTCATTTGCTTTATATACTTCACGAGATGTCATTTATTCTTTTCCTGAACATGTCATATTTTTCTCTCCACATTTCACTTTTTTTTCCCTTACATTTGTCCCCAGGTTTGGGTCGAATGCCCCTACTCTGTACTCCCATGCCTGGTTGTGCCTGAATCTACTGTAGCACTAATATGATGTTATCTTTGTTGATACAATTGTCTTCCTTCCCAGTAGGCACTAGCTTATTAAGCAAAGAGATTCGTTTTCTTCCTTGTATCCCTAGCATCTATTTTGGGGTTGCCAATTAAATGCAAATTTAATTAAAATAAAATGAAGTAAAGTGAAATGAAATGTAATTTATGGCAAGGGTATGGGATTCATAGCCTTCTGCAGAGTTAGGAGAGGAATACTTTTATTGGCTGTGTTTAAAAGTAGAAACAAGATTACTGTCATGTGTACCCAAGCCTTCTCTCTGATATAACCCAAAGGACATGACTATAAGGACAAGACCGAACTTTTCCTCGTTACTAAGTCTTCGGGACTTAGGCACTCCAATTCTAAAATCTTGAAATCTACGCTTTGTTTGTTCTTATCACTGAATTCTCTTTGTTCTCTAGGAGACCTGAATGAAAATTCTGTGGAGAGTCTTCAAGAGAAAGGACTTAGGGATCAGTTATATAAACAGTTTTCCTACTGGCTAATTTTGAAGAGATGGCCAGTACGATAACTGGTAGTCAGGATTATGTTGTGAATCTTCAAGGGGAAGTGTACAGAAACCCCGAACTAGATCTTTCCCCTTATCAAAAGTGGGGAGAAGCATCTTCTCACGTTTCCAGAAACAAGAGCTGTGTAGTAACCTTTCAAAATGATGATTTCAAAAATATAGAAAGTGAAGATTATTTGTCTTTGAAAGTTCCGAATCATATGGCCACTCAGGACTCCTCAGTGACGTTCTGTAAGAATGAGCCCCAGGATCCTCAGGAAAGCACAAGTCTGTTTGTAACTGAAGAAAGCACTGAAAGAAAATTGATGGGAAGAAAAAGTCCTCCCATAGACCATTGTTCAGAGAACCATCATATTAAATCTACATCTGATGTAACAGAACTGGTCTCGCCATTGATCAGTGGCAAGGCAATCTGCCAGAATGGCCAATCAAAAGAATCCTCAGATCCCTTTGACTGTAACCGCAAAGACATTTATGGGTGGAAATCATGGGTGGTCAGTCATCAGAGAGCTCATACAGAGGAGCATCCCTGTAACTGTTATGACTGTGGGAAAATACCCAACACCAGCTCAGATAGTCATCTATGTGAGAAAATCCACACTGCAGAGAAACAATACCAATGTAGTCGGTGTGGTAAGGACTTCAGTGAGAGCTCAGAACTACTGCTTCATCAGAAAGACCACACAGAAGAAAAACCCTACAAATGTGAACAGTGTGGAAAGGGCTTCACGAGGAGCTCAAGTCTCCTCATCCATCGAGCAATCCACACTGATGAGAAACCTTATAAGTGTGACAAGTGTGAGAAAGGCTTCACGAGGAGTTCAAGTCTGCTCATTCATCATGCAGTCCATACAGGTGAGAAACCTTATAAATGTGACAAGTGTGGGAAGGGCTTTAGTCAGAGCTCCAAACTGCATATTCACCAGCGAGTGCACACTGGTGAGAAGCCCTATGAGTGTGGGGAGTGTGGAATGAGCTTCAGTCAGCGCTCCAACCTGCACATCCACCAACGGGTCCACACAGGAGAGAGGCCCTACAAATGTGGAGAGTGTGGGAAGGGCTTCAGTCAGAGTTCAAACCTTCACATTCACCGGTGCATACACACGGGCGAGAAACCTTACCAGTGCTATGAGTGTGGGAAGGGCTTTAGCCAGAGCTCAGATCTCCGCATCCATCTTAGAGTCCACACTGGAGAGAAGCCCTATCACTGTGGCAAGTGTGGGAAGGGATTTAGCCAAAGCTCCAAACTCCTCATCCACCAGAGAGTACATACTGGAGAGAAGCCCTATGAGTGCAACAAGTGTGGGAAGGGCTTCAGCCAGAGCTCCAACCTCCACATCCACCAACGGGTTCACAGGAAAGATCCCCATTAAAGAGCTCTTCAGTCACATGCTTGTACAAGACTTCGGTGTTTTTAACATCACTTTTTGTAGTCAGTGCAGGAGAGAGATAATAAGAATTATTCAGATAGGTTCCCTCATTGAAAAATCATTCATTCATTTAAAGGATTTAAATACCAAGAATTTTGTTATGCTATGCAGTGAATTGATTGTTCTAGTTCCTTAGTTGGTTAGAATGAACACGTCTGTACTCAGTAGTTCAGCCAGTGTTATTAGAACTACCTATCCTACCCAGTATTTACAACAGCAAGAACTTGTCATTTATCCAAGCAGAACATGTTTCCCTTTGTTCACAATCTCTGAGAAATCAGAACTCGGACTTGTCACCAAGTTATGTGCCTTGTGATTTTCATATTTCCTTCCAGCCCTGAGTAGCTCTGTCTAAACTATGATTGTTGGTTTTAGGCCAGGGGGAGGGCGATTGGAGATAAAATAGACATGGAAATTTTTTGTGTTTATTGCAAAAATGTATAACAGTCTGTGGCCACACAACAAGGAGGTGGAGAAGAGCTACTCGTAGTATGCCCTATACACCACTTTATAGCATGTTGAACCCTCTCATCCCCCTAAAGCAACTGCTCAAGACCATAAGTACTGTAGTTCTTTTTCCTGGTTTCAGCTAGTCTGTCGCCACCTCATATGACATCCCCAAACTAAAGCTAAGTAGGTTATATACACCATGTTGAAACATATCAAATGAAGTTGAAACCTATTTAAGTGAATTTAATTCCTTTCTCAATACTTCCCTCTTGTTTCCTTAATTTCCTTCACTACCATGTTCTATGCTAAGCAAAACAAAAGAGGAGAGAAAGTTTTTGATATTTGTCTCTTCAGGCATATCTCTTTATTTTAATATTTGATGTACTCCAAAAAAAGTAATTTGTTTTTGCAGGATTCCCAGCCTCTTTAAAATTCACTGTAGACATCTAACTCATATTTATAAAGTTATTTTTATATTTGACTAAAAGTACTTCATATAAAAATAGATATATAAAAACTTTTAAACCATATTTGGAGAGTAAGTCTGGGAAGATAAGCCTAAAATACGCATTGTATCATACATAATTCACTTGGGGTGGGATTGGGTATGGAGCTAGAACACCTGAAAAAGTTAGGCATTTATCCTCTAGGAGTTAATATTAGAAACTCATGCAACAATTTAAAGTAGAAAAGTGATTGCAAATACATAACTAGATCCTAAGTTACAATACAGATTGCCATACTGTTGAAAACTGGATTTACTCTGCTATCAAACCAACAGGTTTCTCACAGAGCTCAGGGAAACATTCTCCCTACAAATTTTGTTGACGGGTTTCCTGGGCCACCAACTCATCCCTGTTTTCCTGTGAACACTTTGATTCATTTACATGAGTTTTCTTCCCAAAGTTCTGAGCCTGCATGAGTCTCAGGACGTTGCAAGAGTTAAAAATCTTGATTTGTAAAAGTCCTATGATGTTCATCCCCTTGAACATCCACCATTAGGTCCTCACTTGGAGGAATTTGATGAGATACTCCTCCTTTTCCTAAGGTTCATTTACCTTCATTTTCTTTTAATCTTTTTTATTATGGAAAATTTCAAACAGCAGAAACTAGACAGAATAATAAAAGGTCGCTTCATGAACTAATCACTCAGTTTCAAGTGTTATCAATACATTATCCTATGCCATTTTCATCTCCATCTCTTATAAAAATCTAGAGGATTAATATTTATGAAACTCACCAACTTAGGATTTCTTAAAGTTATTTGTTCACAGGACATTTAATATCAAGAGCTCATGAGTCATAATGCATGTGTGAATGAAAATGGCAATAAAAAATTCTCAAAAGTAAATTTATTCTCTTAATCATATTTCAGTGATATAGCAACCAACATTAATGTTTACAATGGATCGATGGCTATCAAAAATACATTATAAAACTAGAGGCTCATCACACCAGCAGTTTTCAAGGTTATATATATCAACAGTTAATGGGCAAACACTGCCTGTGTATCAGGGAGCAAAGTGGATACTACATATTCATTCAGTTCCGGGGCTATAGCACACTGTTTTTCAAGGAGCAGACTGTTGCATAATCAGAAGTGTGTGCACGTGTGTGTGTACAGTAGCCCCCCATACACACATTCACAGGGGATATGTTCCAAGACCCCCAGTGGATGCCCGGTGAATAGAACCAAACCCTATATGTGCTATTTTTTTCTATACATAGATACCTACGATAAAGTTTAATTTATAAGTTAGGCATACTAAGAGATTAACAACTATTAATAAAAGTTATAACAATATACTATAATAAAAGTTATATGAATGCAGTCTCTCAAAATATCTTGTACTCCACTCACCCTTCTTGTGCTATGATACAGTGCCTAAGTGATGAGATGAAGTGAGGTGACTGACGTAGGCATTGTGACATAACGTTAGGCTGGCTACTACTGACCTTCTGATGAGAGAGCTACTAAGTGACTAACAGGCAGGCAGTGTATACATCATGGATATGCTGGACAAAAGGATGATTGACCTCCCAGACAGGACTGAATGTGATTTCATCAAACTAAGAATGGCACACAATTTAAAACATAAATTGTTTAATTCTGGAATTTTTCATTTAATTTTTTCTAACTGTGGTTTATTATGGATAACTGAAACCACGGAAAACAAAACCACAAATAAAAGCGGACTACTGTATATATACACAAATATACTTACATATTATATGTGTGCATGCATGTGGGAGGGGAACTTAAAATTTTAGAAAAAAATGTACTGCTCACACTCTTTTCCTCAGAACAAACTGTTTACTGAACCAAGTTTTGGTCTCTGTTCTTTCATGCCTTGTGGTTTTGCATATCCGAAAAAGGGACACAACAAATATTGATTCCTTATTTACTGGGCTCCTATACATATTGTGAATGAACTTTTAAGTTTGTATGTCTTTTCCTGTCCTCCTGAGTGAGCTCCAGACTTAGTATCTCTCAAACCCAAACCTGCTCCTTTCCCCTTCTTCTTCATCTGGGTAGTGACACCACTGTTCAGTTTTTCAGGTCTAAAACCAAGGAGTCATCTTTAATTTATCTCCTTCTCTCATACCACACATTCAGATCATCAGCAAGTCCTACCATTTTTTATCTTTAAAATATATCCTAAATCTGACCCCTTCCCACTACCTCCACCAATATCAGGCTACTATAACTAATCTGGCTTTACTGCAATCACCTCCTAACTCCACTTTTAGCCTTCACACAACTTCTAGAATTATCTTTTAAAACACACAAATCCGATTACATCGTTCCCCTGCTCAAAAAACCTCCAACGGTTTTTCATTATACTCATAATAAAATCCAAATTCAACCTGTCCTCTAGGCCCTATTCCCCTTTAACCTCATCTTATGGTACTACTGCTCATTTCCACAACTGCACTAGCTTTCTTGCTGTTCCACAAACACATGGGCTCATTCCTATCACAGGCTTTTATGCCAGGATTCCCCCAGACTGATTCACAGTTCTATAACCCATTTTATTTGGGCCTTTGCTCAAATGACACCTCTTCAAGCATGTTATGTTCTTCCCTAACCACTCTATTTCTCTATTTTTAATACGTTTAATTTCACTATTTTATTAAATTATCCATTCACTCATTCTATATTAAGTTTAGAAGTTGAAGAGTAAATGAATAACTGATTTATTGGTAAATAAATTCTGATGATGTCCACCATTTATTGGGAGGAGGGCTGTGAATAAACTCAAATAAATACCAATGAGGAGTAGGAGCATATTAGTCACAATTAGGGGTTCGGAGAGGGTTTCTCAGACAGATAATGTTTTAAATGAGTTTTGAATAAATGAGGAAACAGGATGAGAAGAGCCTTCCGTATAGAGAGAGTAGCACATAGAGAGGTACGAAGGAGAACAAGTCAGGTTAAGGGAATACAAGAAGGTATCCAGAATGGGTGGCAGTGAGTGATATCTTGAGTAGGTGGGGTTTACAAATAATTTTGTATGTCACACAAGGAAGTAAGGTTTTATCCTATAAATGATACATAGTCACTGAAAGACTTTAAGCAAGCTCAAAGATAGAAACCTAGACTGGCCCAAGAGGAAGAAGAGAGAGAAGTAAAAATTTTAAAAAGTAAAAGAACTCTACGACAACTATCTGACATCATTATAAAGACAAACAGGAGTGGTGAAGTTAGAAGCCTAGCAGAGTGAAAGATGTCCCTGGATCTCTCCCCTTGAAATAACAATAAGCTGAACATCTAAAACTCAACAAATAATACCCAACCTGCACACAAGCATATCTGAGTGAGTGATCTGCGCATAAGAGCTTCCAGAGGTCAGAACCATGGGAATCTGGGCTGTATATTGGGAGGAACACAGAAGTTGCCTCTTGTGGCTGGAGCTCCCTGCAGGAAGAGGGGGAAGGAAGAAACTGTGCTGGTTCGACAAACATCCCTGCCTGAGAGATCTGTAAGCTCCATGCAGCAGATTCCAGGGATCAAGGCCGAAAGTGTAGCGGTAACTAAGTGCGGAGGGGCAACGCTGGGTCTAAGCAGCCATGGTTGCAAAGTGCAAGGCTGAGACACAAAGACTAGCAGCAACCCCCACCCACCAACCTAGAACGTCCCCTCCCTCCACCCCATATCCTCTACGGAACGCCACGGAGCCCCAGGGTAATTTGATCAAATGCTACCAAAACTGTCACTAACACTGACAGAGACGGAAACCGAAAGAAGCAATCACGATTGAATATTTATAAGAAAAAAAGGCATTATTAAGTCTCAAAGCAGGGATCCAAGAGGCTTGGATACCTCCTACTGGAAACCAAAAGAAAAACACCTTCTTAGCAACAGGCTAAGTAGAGATCTCTATATAATAAATCTTTCTGGAGGGGAGGGGGAAGCAAAATACACCTCATCAATGCCCAGGCAAAGAAACAGTCCATCAAACACCATGAACAACCAAGGTGACAAAGCACCTGAGAAAAAAAAGAAGAAAATCTTCATTAAAAAAAAAAAAAAAAACTTAAAAACATAGAAATATGCAACTTAAATGACAGAGAAATTAGGATGGTACTTCTGAAAAAACTCAATGAGATCCAAAATAACTCATTAAAAATTGTAGAACTTGAGAAAAAAATTAGACCAGCAGAATGAGTTTTTTAGCAAGGAGACTGAAACTTTAATTAAATAAGAAACAAAAGGAACTTTTGGAGATAAAGAACACATTAGAAGAGATGAGGAATGAAATAGCAAGCTTAGGAAATAGAGTTGACCAAATGAAGGAAAGGATCACTGATATCAAAGACAGAAATCTAGAAATAATTCAGAAGGAAGGAGAGACCAAAGAATGAAAAAAAAAAGAGAAATACTAGAACTAGCTGATAGCATCGGGAAAGGAAACATAAGAATAATAAGCATTCCAGAAGGAAAAGAAAAGAAAGGATCAGAAAGCATTTTCAGACAAATAGTTGAGGAGAATTTCGCAAATCTAAAGAATGAGCTGGAGCTTCGAATCCAAGAAGCTAACAGAACACCCAGTTAGGGCTTCTCCAAGACACATTATGTTAAAATTATCAAAAATTAATGACAAAGGAAGAATTATCAAGACAGCCAGGGAAAAGAAGACAGTAGCATATAAGGAAAACCCATTAGACTATCTTCAGACTTCTCACCACAAACCTTACAAGCAAGAAAGGAGTGGAACCAAATATTCAAACTATTAAATGAAAGGAATTACCAGCCAGGAATAATGTATCCAGCAAAGCTCTCCTTTAAATATGAAGGAGAAATAAAACACCTGTACGGACATACAAAATTTGGGAGAATTCTCCGCTATGAGACCTGCATTAATACCGAGAGGGGTCAGCCCATCTGAAACAAAATGACAAAAAAATACATAACTATGAGTAAGGCGATTAGCAGGCAGACAGAAGTAGCGTGGTGAAACCCTTAACAAGAACAGGACATTATAAGCTTTAAACAATACCACAATTGCTACTGCAAGATAGAAATGAATGTTCAGCATACATAGGGACAATTTGAGACAACAATAACAGAAAAGGGAAGATTTCAAAGATCCAAATTTGTGAAGGGAAATGAAGATAAGGCACATGCAGAAGAAAATAGACTACTGTATGTATGTATGCATGTATACATAACTATCCTTTACATAAATATAATGGTAACCACATGGTAAAAATCCGGAACTGAAGTACATAACATAAAACAAGAACCAGAGGGAAAACTCAAAAAAAAAAAAATCAAATTGAAATAACAGACAGAAACTCAAGGACAAAGAAAAAATAGAAACACCAAGCTACCAGAAAGAAAAAGACAAAATGGCTAAAGGAAAACCTCATATTTCAATAATCATCCTAAATGTAAATGGACTGTACTCATCAATAAAAAGGCACAGAGTTGCAGACTGGATCAAAAAACAAAACCCAACCATATACTGCCTCCAGGAGACACAGCTCAGTTCCAAAGACAAATATAGACTCAAAATGAAAGGATGGAAAATGATATTTCAAGCAAATGGCATCCAGAGAAAAGTAGGAGTAGCGATACTAATATTGAATGAAATAGACTTCTAAATAAAAAAAAGGTAAAGAAAGTTACTGAGGGACACTTCATAACGATAAAGAGAATCATGTACCAAGAAGAAATAACATTTATTAATATCTATGCTCCCAATCAGGGAGCCCCGAAATATATAAAGCAATTACTAAGGGGAAAACAGCTCAAAACACTATCATAGTAGGGGACCTAAATACCCCACTGTCAGATAGGAATGGATCATCCAAATAGAAAAGCAATAAGGAAATAACATCTTTAAATGACACATTAGACCAACTAGATATAATCGACATTTACAGAGCGTTTCATCCCAAAACAGCTCCTTATATATACTTCTCTAGTGCACATGGAATATTCTCAAGGACTGTTCACATACGAGGACACAGATAGCCTCAACAAATATAAGAGGGTTGAAATCATACCAACCATATTACGGTAGCGAGGCCCAAGCTAACTGCTTCCTAGGACTCTTGAAAGTTATTCACTGCCTGCCAACCAATCAAAATACACTTTCCTCTTATAGAAAGAACATGCAAGTCTGTAAACGCTCCTTCCTGATGTGTGTGAAAGGGCATGCCCCACTGCAATCGGGGCTCAGAAATTTGAATGTGAATCCGCTGAGCTGGTGCCAGCACCAATAAATGCGACTTCCTGCTCATTGCCTTGGTGTCCCGTCTCTCTGTTCCAGTCTCCTGCAAAATTTCTGGGGGCTCATCCGGGATCAGAGATGGCGAGTTTTCACCTCCCTTGTCATCAGGGTTTGGCCCCCGGGATGCTGGGAGAAGTGGACTCCATCTGGCACCAGCG